GTGAGTGTAAACCCACAGCACTTAGGTCACATTTGACCCATTGTACATCCTCCCGAGGAGTTGTCCTCCTAGGTCATCGTCCATCCTGTCACTGGGAGACATCTCCTTCATATCGGCAGAGGTCTAGGCCAAGACTCGCCGAACACCTTTTTTAGGAAGTATATGGTAGTATAGGTCATTTATATATAGTATGAACAAGATTGGTCCCGGTACAGAACCCTGGGGCACACCATGTTTGACAGATTTCACATTCGATTTAATTCCATGTAATGATACACACTGTGATCTATCGTGCAAATAGGATTCAAAGGGACAGTCCACGGATACCATAATAGGAAAGTTTCTCAAGCAGAATATCATGCGAAACACAATCAAATGCCTTCGATAGATCGCACAACGTTATGAATGAATGTTTGCCCTCCTCAAAACCTATCACTATACTGGATATGATATTCAAAAGAGCATCGATTGTGGACTTACCCTTTCTATACGCAAATTGTCCAGGGCAGAAAAGAGAATTAGCTTCTAAGTATGCTATTAATCTGCTTTTGACAATTACCTCGATAACTTTTCCAAGTATAGGTATTATTGAAATAGGTCGAAAGTTGTCAATAATATGAGGGTCTCCTTTTTTAAAAAGAGGTAGGACTACAGATTTTTTTAATATTGCAGGAAAAACCCCATGAGAAAAACATTCATTTATTAATAGGGATAATGGGTACGCAATCATATTGACAAAACTTTCGATGATCCCACTGTTAAGCTCAAAATAGTCCGAACAATTGGAGTTCTTGAGAGACTGTATACGAATAAGCCACAACAGCAACGTATGAATTTATTTTGAATAATGTCAAGTCTCATACACGATCCGGATCGCGCTTTCAAAACTCACCTCACTGTAAATGAAAACATGCACATTTTTTTGTAATATTCCATTAGTCTGTAGTACATTTATCAAAAAAAAAACACAAGCACATTTATCGATATTAACCTTGCGTTTATTGAAAGCATAACAGCGCTAGAATCTGAAAAGGTCTTATTGAATATTAATGATAGTGCTAAACAGGTCCCAGATGTGAACCTTGTGGGACACCGGACGTAAGCATGAAAGGCTCTGAAATACAACCATTCACGGACACTACCTGTATCCTGTGGAAGAAATATGAGGAAAGCCAACTCGGAATGCTGCCCTGTATACATCAGCAAGTTTCGACAAGTGGACTATGGTCCACTTTATCAAACGCCTTGTTGGTGTACAAGAAATCAACGTGGATGCGTCTATACACAAATTCCCATATAAACTATGAGTAAATGCTCAAATTAGTTTATATTGAACATATCAAATAAAATCTTTGTTGTTTCTCAAATACCAAGTGTTTTCATCGGTCAAAAATATAACCATAAATGAAACCTTCAAAGACTTTTGTTGTATGCGATGGGTCTTTTATTAGGCGCTTCCTTTTTTTGAAATTTGAAAAAAACAAAGTGTGTGATGTGTATGTGATGACAGTCATCACCCGAAGACGATTGTGGATACTAACAATCGAAATGTCGTTTTTATTTTTAGTCTTTTTATGTTTCAGTTCTATTTTACTCTGTGGTCATTTTTATTTAACGTTTTATTGCTTAATATAATTGGTATTTTTTAGCTATTCATTGTAATATTATTTGTTCCAATAAAATTCAAAAATACATTTGTGCTGATTATTTTCATTATTTGTTCTGTTGTCTATTACCTGATTAACTAACTCCCTTGTTTGAAAAATCTAATCAGCATTCTCTAACTCATAAGTACCCATTAAAAGAAAATGTTAACTGCCAATAAAACTAATATTGATTAAAATCGACCAGTTTGTAGGTAGTTCTTTATCACTGACTCATTAGTGAATACCGTTTACTAATTTTAACTGGCATAACTTTTATCATTAATGCAGTTACATACCCAAATAATAACTCTCAGGCAACCACAAGTTTTTGGTGGTTTCACAAAACCACTTACAGATAAGTTAATGCACATGATATTGTAGAAGCCCTAGTAATCAAAAAATTATATAAATAATGACAATGGTCCATCATTCATCTGAGAATTACTAAAAGTATATTCTATTGAAATATTTATGAAAAGCAGGTAAACACAAATCTGTTTGTGGATTTATTGATTTTTGTTAATGCTCATTATTCAAAATATAATCCCTTTTGTTCTCATAGTAGTGTATGAATGGGTTTCTATAAATGTTTTTCAGTTTTAATTGCATTAACTGCAAGTCATTGAAAATTATATTTATAGGACTAGTGAATTTACAATGAATGATTTCTTTTAGTTTTGCCTGCTCCTAGGCTGGGTTAAGTCACAAGTTATATTTGATTTCAATAGTGAAAATTCTAGAATAAAATTATCACGTGGACACATTCTCAACAAATTTGGAAAAAATGTTTTGCTTCAGCTATTTTTATAGAATTCGGTGTTAGGGATAATATGATCAAATTTATTAAAGTTGCTAGTAATAGTGGACTGTATTCCACAGAGTTGTTCATACAAGGAGGCTGTTGTCTCTAGCTGCTACTCCAGTGAAAAATTGAAAGCATTAAAGCTGCTCCATCTCAATAAATATCTTACTTGATAAATATTTACCTACTTTTTTAAAGTCAAATTTTAAAAAATACCACTTTCCATCAAGATTTTCGAGTTGATTGAATGAAAAAATAATGAGTGAAACTTATGTGAATTGGTGAAAAATTCTCACAATATTTGTATAAATGACGTCTTGGAACCGTTATAGTGGCTTCTACGCCGCCCTTTTGAATAGAAATGGCCACCTATCATTGAAAACAGAATTTTATTTCCCATCGAATAGTTGGTGTCATTTTTAGAATGGGTTTCCAATTGTTTAATCGTTATAAATATCGGTTTCAAATTTCGTACCTCTGAGGGTTGCATTTCTGAGGGAATTGGTTAAGGGGAAAACCAATTTTCAACTGTGTAAGTGACCTACTGTTTTGCAGTCTGAATTTAATTATATTTCAAAATCACTTGAATCTTTATACAATCTTTACGTCTGTAAGTGGCTCTATTATCTGCCTTCTGAATCATAGTAGACAATAAAAAATCAAATACAAAAGATCCGTGATAAATAAAACAGACATCAAAGGTTAAAGTACTGAACTAAGCAATGGAGCTGTTTTATTGTTGATGATGTATAATGATAATTGATTGCCAATATATGATATTGATTCAAATGAAATGACTTCATTTCCATTTGAGAGCTTTGTGAAGCTAAACTCAAAAATTTAAGTGATATTTCCTATTTCACATTCATAATCGAAGGGCAAATTTACACATGTTTGGTGATAGATCATACTCTGGCATAATCCAATGGAAAATAAATTGTTCCAATACCTTAAAATATCTATTTGTATTGGGTTCATGTCTGAAATGTTTCGGTTTCAAAATAAGAAATAAATATATCCAAAACCTTTCATTGCAAATTTTGAATACTTGTGTTCATAACAATGGAACCGACCTCTTTGAATTGGAAATTACTCAACTGCATAATGGCAAGGATATCACATTGAAACCTATTATTAGAATACTGATGAAATTACCAAAATAAACAAATGTATACATGTACAGCACATCTTCAATATTTAAAGTGATTCATTTTCACAATGATCGAAGCAAAATTTTCTGAAAAACCTCCAAATCCTAGTTTTTTATCCATGTGTAACATTTCAACATTTCTGTCAGTTGGTACCTAATATCAAAAACTTGAGTTTTCAGCTGTATTCAACCAATTTTGACATTTAGTGGATTTGAGTATAGTATTGTCAAAATACTGTATTTCTTTTGCTCAACCTACCTAACACTATAAACCACGTCGATTATTAGGTATCATAGATTTGTATGGTTTCAAATTAAATTTTCAATCACTCTGACGCAAATATAGAGGCAGCTAAAAGAGACTGTAAGCGAAGTGATTCAACTGCTTTATCTGCTGACAAATTTCATTTCCAAGGATAAAAATATTAAAAAACACTATTCAAGTGTAAAAATGGAATGAACTGTTAAATTACTAAGAAAAAGAGAAAATACCAGTGAGCATGGTTTTGCCATTATAAATAAAGAAAAATTACATAAGAAATAGAAAATAACTAACACGTGATGTATTGATGGGAGACGAGAAGATTTGGGATCGTTGGAATACTATAAAAAATGAAAGACTATTGAAGGAATGCAAAAAAAAAGATGTTATCAAATAAGCATTAATACAGAAACGAAGTAATCCCACCGAAACAAAATATCACATTTACTGACCCTTGACAAACTAATTCAATTTTGAAAGTTCATAAAAAAATGGCAAAAATATCATGAAGCTACAAATGAAAGAAAAAGCAAAAGAGAAAAATGTAATTCAAAATAGTAAGAACACAATAAAAACATAAAAAAGCTAAAGGCTACTATGAATTCTACCAAAAAACCAAAATAAAAGAAATAGAAATAATACGTTTTGAGATATATTTCTATAACAACATAAGTAATGAACAGGAACGGATAAAGTTTGTAGATAGTTTGGGCAATATTTCCAAGGATCATAAGTACAATGACGAAAAAAATTAAGATTTGGAGCAGGAAAAAAAATTATCATGATATAGAGTTGGGAGAACGGTGATTCCATACTTGTTCATTTTCATAGAAAAAATTATGAGAATATCTACAATATTCAAAAAATATTGAAACAACAAATAAAAGTTATGGCAATAATGTCACAAAAATTACAATTGAAGAAAACAATAGTTTTGTCAGTATCGTTAACCACTGCTGAACCCTGTTCTGCTTTTGCAAATAGTTTATAACCCCATTTAGTTAACTAGATCATCACAGAAATCAGCCTACTTACACAGGGACATTTTCTATTTGATGATGCAACACTTGTGACTTATTAGCATAATGAGTAAACAAATACCAAATACGTAAGTTTTCACAATTTAACGATTTCACTTACCTTCATTCGTGCAAGAAAAAGATCCAAATAGGTAACAGCAGAATAGAAAATGGTCTGAGGGACATCGAACCAGACTCGAAAGAAGCGAAGGATCTGAACAGAACTGTCCCTGGAGTTGAGGGTTACTTCCCATGGCTTGAGATCTTGTTGAATAACTAAAAGATTCGGTCTGTAGAGCGTTTCGACTGCAAGAGCATCTTCAAGGTTAAATGCAATTGGTTTCATATTTATGGCATCGGGTAAAGGCCGACCCCTCCTTTTGCTTGCTTGGTCCATAGCGACGGTTGTTCCCTTCTTTTATTGATGGATACACCTTACCATTCCCCCGTTTTCTTAAAATAAAAAATCGGTTGCAGCAAAAGTAGGAGAAGGCCTAAAACCTAAAACGAAAAAAAGTCAGAACTTGGTCAGGAAAAATTATAAAACAAGTCTAAAAATGTTTGTAAAACGACTTACCCTGATGCTTTAAATAGCTTTGCTATTATAGTTTGATTTCAAAAAAAATTCAAACTAAAAGTAAGGACTATGGTACTCAATGATTGAAAAGAACTTAATGACACAGAACAAACAATACAATTGTTATTCAAAACCACAGAACATCAAGAAACACCGTTGCCATATCATAGAAGTTCGGTTATCTTGCGATTCAATTAGTCCAGTTTCATCATCGACAGGTTTTATTCTATCTCGCTCTTTATTTACCAAAGTTGAACTGAAGGTATTGTCACTCTCACCCTAAATTTTACTGCTTGATCATTTCCATATGAAAAGAAAAAGATTCGTTCACATCTTGTTGACCAGAGCAAATTTGCTACTGGCCCATGGTACGTACAACATTGTAATATAAAAAATGTCGTTGATACCTCCGGCAAAGCCTTAGAGGTAGTAGTAAAGACCAATTTCAAAGTAAATATTTAAGGTTCAATTTGCTGGATTGTATCTTCTCAACAAATCATATTCCTCATTAAATATTGATAGCAATAATTGAAGAATGTCAGTGTATTGCATTTCACAACTTTTGCCTTGTGACTAAGTTTTTTTACCATAGTAGTTGAAACTTAAAGTCAAATATTCGATCACCATACGTATTTTGTATTTAAAAAAAGAATTTACAAAACTACTACTGATTTCGTTATCCGCCAATTTTTTTCCAAGTTCATGCTTGTATAAACTCTAAACATTTAGGGTATAGGAAAGTAAAAATAAATGGAATATCGGAACGTTACTATTGAAACTTTGAAGTTATGTGTCAAGTCATGGGTTATGTTTACCCTCGACTCTTTTCTGATTGGATCACTGCTAATCATCCGAGAGTCATCGACCCAATCACAAAATAACAGATGTTGCCAGTTTTGGAATTTTTGTTTGACATACTCGTCAATCTCAATTATCTGAAAAGGATTAATTTTTTAATTGGCACCATTTATTCGAGTAAAACACAATCACTATTAAACATGCAAAATGGCAAAACCTATACACTAAGATATGAACAAGAGGAATGCTCTTTCCAAATAAACTCAACATACATTTTTATTGAATAAATATTTCTTAGAATTATTAAGTTTGAAAATTGGGCACATATTTTAGCGACACATTTAAAATCTTATTTTTCTGGTTGAGATCAGTATCATTATAAATGATTTATTATCAATGAATAAGGCACTTGAAATAATAATAGATTATATATGAAAAGATATTCCAAAATTGATTTAAAGAGCATTTTTCACCCACTAGACCTTGAGATGTAAAGAAATAACTTCTCTTAAAAATCAGAAATAATATAATGAAAACACCTTATTGGTTTAGATTAGGCAACCAGCATTACGACTGGAGAATTAGTCCAACTTTAATATACATCGAAAGGCTGGCCGAATAGAATTATATTACACCACCGATGGTATGTCATTACGTCAACAGTAATGATTTTTTTTCAGTGAGAAAGTCCACCTAATTGGGTAGGAATGAAGAGTTCCTTTTCTATTAACGTATAGTACTGGAAATTCACTTCAGTTGCATTCGAAATGAGATATTTGTTCATCATAGACAATACGTAATATAATATTTTTGGATTCAATGAAGCGATTTGAAAACTGAATTTTCTAATCACCTATATGTGTCTAATTCAAGAAAGGATTCTAGTATTGAATACATATTAGTAATAATGTTTACAGAATACCCAAATCGACATTTACTGTATGCAATTTCTACCTATCATTCCATCCCAATTTCATCTCTTTGCGATTTCAAATAAGGCATTTATGATAATGATTATAAATGAAATGAAAAATCGGTGACTTCCTTTACCAGTTCACAGTATTTTAATTCTAGCGAACTACGAAACGACTGACGATTATAAAAATAGTTTTGTAAAGAATTCAAACCCAATGCGATAAGAAAACCAAGGAGCATTGAAAAAGTTAAATCCCAAATTATAACTCCTGTTGAACAAAGTGAAAGATGGTTCATCATTCTTCAGACACTTAGCAAAAGGTAATAATTATATTTTTAATGATATTGCTGAGAATGTATCATTGAAATTTTATTTCTGTCAGTATCCGATTTGTACACTTTGAATATCTTTCCAATGGAAATTGATAAAAAAAAGACTTTTGAAAATCAGTTTTACTCATCGACATAACCTTGAGGTTAAGTCGATGGTTCTACCTAGTACTTCACAATTCTTCTGCCAATGTATATACAGTTCAATTGAAACTTCAAACTATTCTCCAATATTCATTCCACAACATTTTAGAATATTCCGGGATGTTATTGAATGCTGTAGAAGATTCCGGAGAGTTCTGGACTGTTCTAGAACCTTCTGAAGGGAGAAACTTGTAGCCCAAAAGGTACGCCAAAAGGTACGCCCTTCAGGTGAAAACCTGGACAAGCTGGGTTTTAATGATTAGCTTAGTTTGACCAATATATTTTATGCCTCAGTCCTCATAGCTCATTTCCTATATCCCCGACTTTTCATTTTCTAACATTTTGCCTTCAGCGTCAGCTGACAAAAAAAGTTTTGAACGCTGATCTCTGATTCAACTTTTTGAAAATCCGACCGAATTCGTTAGTGTATTTTGGTTCATACAGAAGGACAATAAACTGTGTCTACGTCTTTGTCGAAGTAGAAGATTCACGAAGAAACATTGTCATATTCCAACCACTTTACACAAAAGATTCATGAATTATACACATGATATTTAACCTTGAATAATTTCTTTCATTGTTGAAAATTATACGAGAATCTGTTAGGCAGTTTTTGAGTTTATCGCGTTCAGACAGACAGACGTGAAGGAGGGACTTCGTTTTATAATATGTAGTGATCATCAGGGCCGGATTTAGGGGAGGACTGGCGAGGCTACTGCCCCGGGGTCTCCACTGGAGAGGGACGCCCACAAATGAAGATAAAATATATCCATATTTTGACGGGTCAGCAACTTCTACGTTTTTTCTCCCGACCTTTTTTTTGCACTTTTACTAGAAATACTTGCACAAACATAATGTGGCAAGGTATACATCGGAACTACCAAAAGATCCATGGGAACAAGGTTGAAGGAGCGTGAAAGAAACTACTAACTAGGACAAACGGACAAGTAGGATGTGGCGGAACACGCACTCAGTGAAGGAAACCACAGAATGCTGTTTGAAAACACGGAATTGCCCCCAACCAGGGATACCATAGCCGACTGGTACGGGAGACAATAGAGACACCACAAACACATGGATAATTTCAACAGAAAAGAAGAAGCTGTGACCTCAATCGAATATAGAATCCCATTCTAGGGAGTTCAAGAATAGCAAACAGCATGACGGCAGGTAGAAAAGGGTTGACGAATATTATCGACAGTTCACCTAAGGTACAGTTATTAGCAGACCAAACTACCTGAGACAGCATAAACACGCTTTACACAATTTACCTAAGCAAGGTACAGGCACAGGCATACCAAAAAATCCTGAGGAGTCAACATAAATAAGTGTTACGCAACCGTAATATCCAGTCATCGGAGATTGTATAAACATCTGAAGGAGCTAGCCACTCGCGTCAGCGAAACGTCAGGAAGAATATCCAAAAATCCACGGCAACCAAACCCGAAAAATAGTGACACTGGTGTGACATTCATTTGATACATATTCATTTAAAAACATATTCATTTAAATGAGCCTGAAAACTTTTATTTGTGAAGTTCGAATTGGTAATCAGTGGATATGTGAACTCGGGTAGAATGATTGGTAATCAAGTAGCTGTAAAAAGTCATATAATTCAATTCATTACGTAGCATAAAATCGTCTGAAGAAGCTATTGTAAAGTGAAACACATGATTACTTTTTGATATATGAGAACAAAACCCAAGTATCTCATATTTAACAACTTCATTACGTGAAATCGCGTCGTTTAACAACAGGATCGTGATCCAAAGTTGTTGCGGATTCATCCCCATGTGTAGCTTGAGGAGACAGCGAGATGATGAAGGTTACCAAGCCCTTCCCATTCTCAGAGACAGAGTATGTGGAAGCCTTCAGCCTTTCTGGATTAATGTTTTCGTGTTGTGACGGTAGATGATTGTTTCAGACGAGCGTGAAATCTCGACGTATGCCCGAGGGCATATTTTGGGGAAAATGCGCGGAAAACAAGAGCTATNTAATATTGCCTGTTTCATACACAAATCACAGATATTAGCAAGAAACACTAAAACGATTTACCGGAATATTTTTTAGTCCCGGTTCGTCACGGTATCCCGTCCGAATAATTAAATAAAAAACAAACGTATTCGTACACTAACGGAGACCAACTGGAGGCTAGCCTCCTCTAACGCTATAATTTCTGCAACTGAAATTACAAATCCGGACGTATGTCTCTGATTGGATCGGTCTCGTGGAGCCTGTGTTTTTTAAAGCGGTCGGAGACTTGACTCCCTTGCAACGTATGACATTTATTTCGGGTTAATGGTTTATTCATCATTCGTTAATGGGCGGTGCGTTTGAGTTATGTTGATGCAGGATACAGTGTGGTACGTACTACGTAGTGAGTGATAGTGTTTTTTCGGGCATATTATATTAAAAATTAATGGTAAAGTAATGATACCCAAGCATTTCATTATTTGCCAATATCTTTTAATTTATTGCGATGAAAGCCTCAAATTTTATGTGGAGGCTAAGCCTCCCTTGCCTTCTCTGACGAACCGCCGCTGATCTAGTTCCATACAATAATAGTGTCTACTTTCGAAAGCCTCATTGCCTTATTCCAAACCAGTATGGCCCAGGAATCCATACCAGAGACAATCTGTTAAGTCTTCCTATCGAGGAGAGTTGTTTTTGGCAATTTGCTGCCAATTTAGACGTTGCTCAGTAGGAACCAAGAGCTTCCAACGCCACATGACTGTCCGAGAATATTTATATTGACTTGTGTATGAGGTTGGATTCTTCCAATCTCTCTGCACACAATTCAATAGCGTAAATTTCCGCTTGAAATACAGTCGAGTAGGTTCCTAGACAGGTAGATATCTCTGTCCTGGGTCTACGACTAAAAACACCTGCACCAGAACCGACCTGTGAACCAACAAATATCTGCTCTCAATATTTCCAACAGACCAACAGTCTGT